ATTGTTATTATTGTTCTTGTGATTAGAATTAGCGCATAGAGATTAGGTGGGTGCGAAAGTGTAGCTGATATATTTGTTCGAATTGGCTACGAAAGTCAAACAAGAATAAAGAAGACTTATGTATAAGACGTCTTGCTATGCACAAATGAATTTATCAGCAGAACACCAGGCACCAGATGAGCCCTGTCGCACTGCGGCACTTGTTTTTTGATGTCGCCAGGCATGCTGTCTAGTTTCCACTACTCGCGACCTGTTTTGTGCAACTATGGTAGCGAGACTCATTCAGAGAGGATGCCATCACTGGAAGCAGAGGTAGACGAGGATGGAGATTTCATTGTAGTGCGCAAGGACCAACAGACAACAAATCGAAAAAAGGGATACGTAGTGATAGGTGAATTCTCTTAATAAAACGTCACCTACTAGAGGCTAATAATCACGATTGCTAATTAGTTGCGATAGAATAATGATAATTCCTATGTGAATTAAACCCCCCCCCCCCTAGTAATCTAATCAGGAGTGTATCAATATTGATACACTCCTGATCTAATGATAGTTATCATTACGATACCGTGTTTTATGAATATGTTGTTTCATATCTGCAGAGCATTCCATGGCCACACCTCTTCAACATGTTGGATTACAGGTAATTCAGTATATTGGATTACAGGTAAATTTCCTGGCTGTTTTATGTCTTCAGCTGTGATTCAAATTCAAGTTTCACAATGTGTCTAGGTTCGTTGTAAGCACAGTTAAGATGTGTCTTGAAGCCTGATATATTGTGTTGGTGTGAGCACACATTTGGCATTATCAGAAGTTATAATCTCATCAGAAGATATTATCTCAGAATTACGTGGTGTCCACAGGTGTGGCGAGGAGCCTTGCTACTTGCTGACTACGTGATGGCAAAACCGGACATGTTCGCTGGCCGCGTCGCTATAGAGCTTGGTGCTGGGACAGGACTCGTGTCTATCGTGCTCGCCATGGTGGCCAAGATGGTTTTCTGCACAGGTAGGGGTGGTGACACTTGTTGGACAACGACCAACGATGCAAGGTCTTGGGTTTTTGTGACTAGGATCAGGACCTCCGTGGAATCTTCTCTTAACCAGATTCTTATTCATCACTGTGCGTTGTTTTATAAGTGACACACTGCTGACATGGTATATCACATGCTGCATCATGTATATATGTGGAGTAAATAAACACATTTGTATCAAAATTTGTAAATAAGCACAATTTGTGATCACTTACTCCTGATATATATGTATATATGTATTATGTATAGGTATATATATATACACATATATATATATATAGGTATATATATATATGAGTCTGTGTGCGTGCGTGCGTGCGTACGTGCGTGCGTGCGTACGTGCGTGCGTGTAGGCGTGTGGCTGTGTGGCAAGTTGTTTGACTGTCGTCATTGTACAATCCAGTTATTTCAGTGTCAGTATTGATTGATATAGATTATATATAGAGATATATATATATTGATATAGTTGGGATGGATTGTTGCTAACAGATACTGGTGAGGAGGTGCTTCGATTATGTCAGAGGAACATCGTGCGCAATTCGCAGCTGGTGCCACAAGAGAATCGCGTTGCTGTAAAAGAGCTCAACTGGCAAGAAGAGGTTGCGTCGAAAGGTGTGTGAATTCTATACCAACTTTGTAGGGCCTAGACAAAAATCAAACTTCGGCTATTTCATCAAACTGTAAGTGCTAGTCAATCCTTTACGCGGTGCATGCACTCGTGGCTTCTGGAGTAGGCCGTCGGTTTGGAGAGGAAGTTGGACAAGCGCTAGCAGTGAGGGCTTCTGAGGGTATACCCAAAAAAAACTTAATAATCTGGGAACTTAGGTCGGCAATACGTTTCAATGTTTCTGGCTCTATTCTGGCTATTGACGCCCTCTGAATTGCGGAAATTGAATCAACGTGAAGTCACGTCTTCACGTTTTTCTTCTCGCTTGCCAGTATTGATTCTGGGATCGGGTGAGCTGCGGCGTGGGGGGCATAGCCTCTTGACCTGACCTGACCTTGACCTAGTCGTAATGATGTCAACCGTAATATCTTCACCCGCCTGTGATTTCATAGCCGCAGAGTCTGCCGAGGTTGGCCCGTTTTTCTGGAGTCGGGAGGAGATTGCGCAGCTCTACAGAGCCGACGTGATACTCGCCGCTGATGGTAAATTACGCTCGCGTTACTATTTAATGATTATTCGAATTTCATGTTTATTTTCACTGCAGCGGCTGTACGTGGTACAGTACAACGTGTGCATATATATATATATATACGATACGAGTTGTAATATGTACGATATACGATATATATGTAGAAATGGAGAGGGAAGAGAGACGGAAGAGAGAACGGTGTGCCTACATCCCCGTTGGGGAGGCCCAGCCACTCGTAAAGGACAAAATCAGTAACAGAACTAAACGAAAACATCCCCTAACTTCAGACAGTCATAGGTTCCCTACCTGCGATGTATGTTTAGCCCCCCTCCCCACCCGCGTACATGTAACACTGCCACGTTAGGCCCCCTATCTCGCCTGTCGGGAACCTTTTCCCCTGTGTCGGGCACTCTTTGCTGCCTCCTCTGTCACTGGTGCCCCGTTCTCTTCAGTCGTGTACGACGATGACCTGACCGATGCGTTTTTCAAGACGGCGTACGACTTGATGAGCTGCCTGCCTTCGAAAACCGTTCTCATCTCTGTCGAAAAACGGTAACTATCCGATCCAACGCAGCCAGCATGCTAACTGAGCAAAATAACACGCCCCACGCGGGCAATTGAAATCTGCGTGGGTTGTGAGCGCAGTGAGTATGATGATTTACTACTGCCACACACTATGCTGCACTAGTTTAGACGCCCTGTGAGTAGGATTCTAAGCATGCACATTTGCTTTTGAACTGTTTCATCGGTAATGATCGATAGCTATCAATTTGTGTCGAAAAGGTTCTCATGAACTTATTCGCACACGCGACCATGTTTGCGCGTAAACTCTGCGTGTAATGGCTTTTCCCTGTCTTCATCTAGTCTGAACTTCACGCTGTCTAATCTGGAGGTGGGGTCGCCCGCCTACCAGCACTTTCAAACATGTCTGGAAGAGCTGTCCCACTACGCCACCGACACGGTATCTTTCAGCGTCGACCAAGTGCCAACCGACTTTCCACAGATTTTTTCGTACGACAGAGTGAAGTTTCTGGTGAGCCGCTAGCCTATTAAGATCCTATCCTATTAATTTAGATTAGTTTAAGTTAGATAGCATAAACTTTGACGATGTTGAAAACAGTCTTTGAATATTGTCGTTTCGAGTGAAATCGCCGCTATAACGCCATGGTTGGGGTCAATAAAATTCGATGACGTGAGATGTTGCGTCGTACGCTAATAGCGGGGTAGTTTCTAGTTTAAAAATTGAATTACCGAGTGAAAGGATGAGAATAGGAGCATGATCGCATTATATTCGATTATGCGTTATTTCGGGGGCGCGTTATAGATTGGTTCTACTGCTGTTGTGGGTTAACTTATTTATACGGTATTTATTAAGGGTAATTATTGAGTTTAGTGCCATAGTTTTTACCTGGGTTTTTTCATAAAGCTGTATGGCCAAGCCATTTTAATTGGGCCACAAAGCGGCGCTATTGACTGCCTGAGCATTCGTTTACGGGCTTTTTGTTTGTGACTGCAAACCGAACCATTGTGTTCCGAGGTCGTGTATGGTGGTGATTGGAGTGTTCAGCTGATGTCATTCGTTACGTGTACTCTCGGAAACATGGGATAAGCGGCATTCTGTGTGGGGGCATGGAAGAGTATGAATATCGTTTTTTCTAAATCTTTCTGCTTATCTTGTTACACAGGAGCTGTGGAAGGTTACGTCCCATCACAGGGCCGAAGGAGCCTGCAAATAGAAAACTTCGCACTTATCTTTGCCACATGTGCGTGTGCGTATGTGTGCGTGTAAATAATATCAGGAGTGAATAATAATAGAGTGAATAATAATAGATTTATCATACTAATACCTGATAATATCATTGGTTATGGTGAGCCAGAGAAAAAAAACACAAGTTACTAAGATTATTAAAAAGTGAAAAGATATAGTTATTTATTTAAAGTTGGTTAGTATGTAAACATTGCATATGGTGTACGACTTGCCTTTGACACTAGGCGAATCAAAGTGCAATTTCGTAAAAGGGGGCATGATTAGATTGCTTGCGTCGTCAAGCCTTTTTGGCATTCATACCAACATTTATAATTCTCAGATTACATCTGAATCGAATACATACAAAGGCACAGTTTAGGTTGACTATAACCCACCTAAGCCTACCTTCACTATCACATATATGACTGTGACAGTGGCAGCCGTTTTATAACACATTAAAAGAACGTAATATACGTTTAAGTCACCAGTGCTATACGGATAATGTTGTTATAACAATTTTGTTGGAGTGGTGCAGTTGTAACCCATTCACGATAATCCATGGCCTCGGCCAATTCATCATTAAATATCATATAACATAAAAATCATTACGTTAAAATTAGAATCCTCGTCCACGCGATTTTCTACTTACTACATTGGTAAAGACGATGTATTGGCACCAAAATGTTATCCTTTCTTACATAATGTTCACGTGTTTAAACGGCATCCTCGGTCCAACAAGACGTCGCTACGTACAAGCCGAACTTACTACTTCCTAATTCCCGCCATTATACAACGTTGTGGCTGGGGGTGGGCACCAGTCAGACTGACCATATCACTCCGATTTCGGAAGATGTTTTTGGGTAGAGCTGGACAATGACCCAGCATAATGTCACGTCAATTTGACAGCTAGTAATGGTTGTCAGTCTTCTCCTCCCGCCGCACTGCCGTGCCCATGATGTGGATGCTGGTGGTGTCGGGGTCCGTCTTGAGAGCGGTTCGCCTGCTGCCGCCACCGTTGTTATTGTTCAGGTAGGGTGAGACACTCGTCGACGGTATATTGGCAACGACTGCAATGCGCATTCAATTCATGGTCACGGAGGCTCGAAAAATAAACTCAATGTGACAGTATGGGCTGTGGATTCGCCCATGTATGAGAACGTGCGTGTCTTTTGCCGCGCCCGCGGCTAAAATGTAAATCATTGTACTTATTTCTAAAATTTATATATATATATAAACTAAATATATGCTGTATTATAAATGCCTAGTGCATAGATAAAAATCTTGGATATCGAATTATTTCGACGAGAGAGAGAGAGAGAGAGAGACAGGCAGATAGACAGACAAACAAACAGGCAGAAAAGAGAGAGAGAGAGAGAGAGAGAGAGAGAGAGAGAGATATAGATAGATAGATAGATAGCAGTGGCGTAGACACTAGACAGGTCCTCAGTTGTGGGGGGATGATTTCCCTGTTACTTTCATCACAAAGTATACGAAGAATGTGTGTGCGTAGCGCACGCCGCGAGCGCCTTAGCGTGAAGCCCTTAACGAGGGGGGGGGTCCAGGAGCCCGCCTTAAGGAAAGCTCTTGGAGTTTAGCAATTTAGAACCTTCAAGATGGCCGTTTTTGAGGAAGTTGAAAAAAAATTGAAATTGTAAGTGCAATATTTGTGATTCTAGGGTTATTTTTTCTTTGGCTCCAGAGTTTAATAACATGTAGCACCGCCCCCGCGCACACGACACACAACACACAACACACACACAGCCACCCACACAACTAAGCACTGGTAATCATCTGCCCTCTGAATTTGATGAAACATATTTTAGCTGAGAACGCGATATACAAAATCGGGAATATACTTCCGGTCGGGTCTCAGCACCCCCATCCCCCACCCCCCAAAAAAGTGTGATAAAGATTGAATTTTTCCCATTCATTCCCCGTGAAAATTCGATATCCCAATTCTCAATAGGTCTATTCTAATTTTGAATGAAGCAGGGATTTAAATTTCGTGAGCAGTGATAAGATGTGATTTGGGGATTTTGAAAAAAAAATCGTATATGGGGAATGCGCCCAAAATTAACCGTCCTAGTTTCAGTAAAATAATGTCTTTCTTGGAACGAGTTACAGACATTTTACAGTAGATGTATGTCCCTTTCCATTTGTGTAATAATACATTAGGAGAGAATGAATAGCGTTGACGGATTTGTAGATAAATGTTCAGTATTTATTGTCTGTAAAATATGAATTTTCCCCATTTTCCTCCTGAAAGTAGGTGGGGGGATGATTGTAAACGCTATCCCCCACCTCAGTAAGTGGGGGGATATATCCCCCCCCCGCGATCTACGCCCCTGATAGATAGATAGATAGAGAGAGAGAGAGAGATAGATAGATAGAGAGAGCGATTTCATACCTCTGTGTTGCCTACGTATTGTGAGGCCTTTGCCTCGTTCGCTCGCCGTCTGGTATATGACCATCGGGTTGATGTGCTGACTCTCCAGCGTTTTAATGTCCTGCCTCCCGTCCTCTTGATCTGCTCAACAATAAGCAAAAACTATGGCAGAGTGCTGATGGAGGAATAAAGTGTACGGCGGGAAGTGACCGTATATTCTAGCGTTAACGTAAAAGTCGCGGTTTCTGCCTGGCGTAATGCGTGATTGCCTTTTAGAAATTACTGTTAAGCTAAAAACGCCTAACCCCTTGCTGTGAATTTCTCTATGCTCCGATTTTTTTAAACATTCGGATTCTTAAGAAATCTCTTGGTTTTCAGCTTGCTTTAGTAATGTAATCGACAAATTTCAGTGAGGATTCAGAAGGAGAATCGAAGAGAGTAATCGGGAAAAGGGTCAAAATGGTTCATGTGAACTGAGATTTGGGATACCCAATCATGAGCTTTCTTTGGGCGTTTTCATCGGAGACTCACTCGCCTGTCTTCGTTACAAGTTTCAAGTGCAGTCAGGTGCTTTCAGTTCAATTTCAGTATGGGACCTTAATCACTAGTACAGACCATAATAGACCGTAACCTAAGTAAACTTGTATAAATACGGCTGGTGATAGAGTTGGATATAAACTTGCCATCGGGACTATTTGCAGATAGGTGTATATATATAATGACAGATATTTATAATATGCTCGTGTTGCACAGACTTGCCTTTGGTCAGTGGTGGCGATAGTGGACAGCTATATGTTTAACATTTTCTGCTGGTGGTGGAAAGAGACTTACCACTGGCGCTGGTGTTGGATAGAGATTTTCCAGCGCGGTTGTTGTTCAGGTCTCCTTTGCTGAGAGGCTGCAGGATCGGACGTGGCTGGCGGCGGGGGATCGAACTGTTCCTCGACACCTGGCGTCAGTCAACGCACAAGCGCAACGTCAGTAACAAGTCAGCGAGTCGTTCCTATATGTGCGACGACATTCCTTTTACGATATTCTATTTTGATACGAAACCTATTGGTTTTTTTCACGCTGTGGTAATCGCACTTAGGCGTGTCACTGTCGTTAAGTGTCGTATCTGTATCACCAGTTGTAAGAGAATCTAGTTTGTTTGCGAATACGAAAGGCACCGCAATACCTATATAGCACTCAAGCATTCCTATTTAAGTTCAACTCATACTTAGTAAATTGCTACATAATAATCTCTTTACTCCATACAAAATCGATGGCGCCAAAATCTTGTTCCATTGCGTTGCAACGCGTTTAGCAAGTGCTTTTGAAAAACTCGAAATGTATTTTGACAGAAATTGAGTAGCCATCGATCAAGAGAAGGGCTTCATCTTCGATGCACGTCGTAAGTTCTAAGTCCTAGTAAAGCTCTGCGGAGCAGGCACACTACGGTAGGCCTCAAGTGCCACGGCGTACGTTTTCACATTGAAACATTACACATACGCACACGCCCGCACGCGCGTACACCCACAGACACACACGGTATTCTACACATGTTTGCACGGGTAAATGTCCCGATCTGAGGTCATGCACGCGGAAACTTGGAGTAGAACATGTAACGGCAGAACTGTCACATCATTGCAGCCTCTACACAACGTAACGGGGGTCTCATGATGCCGAATCAAGTTCTAGAATTCGTGTTATTAGAGGCACATAGATGGCGCACATTCCTCCCGTCCAATGAATACATGCAGAAACGAATACGCAACTGAAACAGCGACCACCGACAGAGCTTATACATGCAACAAGCCAAAACACGACAGATAGACACGTATAGTGAGTGCTACACACGCAAATCATTGTAAGGCATATATATATATATATATATAGATATAGATATAAATATATAGATGTATACGTTTATATATATATATATATATATATATACATATAAAGAGCGAGAGAGGGAAGAAATAGATGTATAGTCGCTCCCTTCCACGCAGTGCTTGTTTTACTAGTTCGCGGACTACAACGTATGGCGGTATGCTTAGACACAACGGCTCTTACTCCACAGCTCAGCAGGACTCTCTGGAGCAATTTGGTTAAACAACTCAGAGAGGGAAAAGCAATATGAAGACGGGGGCCGACACAGTCGCCGCATGCCACCTTCCACCTGGTACTACCAGTATCGGAGTTTCGCCCACATTCATTACAATAAACACTAAACTCACAAGCACCATGACGAAACGATCGATAGTTAGGGGAACGTCNGTCGTTGTGTGTGTGTGTGTGTGTGTGTGTGTGTGTGTGTGTGTGTGTGTGTGTGTGTGTGTGTGTGTGTGTGTGTGTGTGTGTGTGTGTGTGTGTGTGTGTGTGTGTGTGTGTGTGTGTGTGTGTGTGTGTGTGAACCCTATTAATTCTGAGTGACCTTGACCCAAGGTCAAGGTCACAGGGTCATTAAGTAGATATCGAACACTGATCTCTATAGAGCTACACTTCATCCGCAGGATAAGTAGAGAACTAACGCTGGGTCATAGCAGAAGGACCGTACCATTGCTAATTATATAACGCGGGGCGGGGGTTCCAGGTGGTATTTCCAGGCGTGTTGTGTGTGCCAGAGTGTGTTCTGATATCGATCTATTTCACTGCGCTGTAGAATAGCGTTCTGATATCACAGGTGTAGTGATCACGTGTGCGGAGGATTCGCACTCTCCGAGTGCCTTCTTTCTAGTTATTCCTGCGTTTGCTCTTTCGCCCTCTCCTCGCCCTTTTTTCTGTGCTTTCCAGTCATCTCTCTACCCTTAGTCCACCCTCCTCTCTGTCTCTTCCTTTTCCATTAGTCCTCTCTTGCCCCTTTTCGCCACATCCTTCATACGCGCGCGCGGGCGTACCCACGGAGGCATACGCTCTTTCTAGCATTCTCTCTCTCCCCCCCCCTCTCTCTCTCTCTCTCTCTCCCCCCTCTCTCGCT